TAAACAAAATTTAGACACACGTTGAATTTCTTCAGAATAATCATTTCACATTCAGTTCTTTACAGCTGTTACACTTTTCTTACAGTTTCAAAAATCATTCCTTTACCACCCAAAGGCATACTTTCTCTCTCCAGACTCATAAAACACTATGGAAACTACGACAACACATGTAATTTGTCACACTTTCAGCATCAACACATATATCGTTCATAATGTTTACTTTCTCTCGTGCAATCCACAAACTCGTGTTAGAATTTGAGTCATGTCTAGTTTACACCTGACACAGTCATTCTTACATATGAACATTTTCGATTAGACAATTAAACATAAAATAAACAACCAAAGTATTTTTAATGGATGAACTCAATCGTAGTCTCAGTTGTTGACACCATCTGGTAGGGTGCAGTTTAACTATTGTGTTGAAGAATGTCTGAATCTGTGATGTAATATTACGAGGAAAAATTCAGAATAGTTATGATAAACGTGATATGTTTTTGGGAGTCGAAATCGTTACACCGATTGGACCTACGAGCAAAATAAAATAGTGGCTTAGGATGAAAATAAAACTAAATTTACCGCATGCGTCGTACACGGTTTTTAGGCAGCCCTAATGATTTTCATTTTAATTCAAGAATACAAATAATTTAATTGTGTATTTTATTATGTTAAGCTGAGTAATACCTGATGCGACAAGTCAATTTTTTTGTTTTCTCTGTGGCAGTCACTGTTTTATTTTGAACATTTGAACATCGTCTCACTTTTATCACGAGTGCTAAATTGAACTTTTAGCACGCTCGGACTGCCCTAATGTAATTGATTTTATTCTTAGATGTCTAATAAAGTAATTGTTTTTTTACGGTTATAAATCACTTTCACAAACGTTTATTCTATATTGGTATAATACTTTCAGAAGTTCAACATCTTTCTGAAGATGTAATGGAAATGTTTTATTTTGACCGATATCTGTACATTCATACTGTAGGCAAATATGGCAATTCTGCTGTCCATCTTGCCTTAAAAACGTTGCACTGCGCACTGCAAAAACGCACTGCATACGAATATTATTTTTCCTGAAAGGACGCATGTTTCAGACGCTTGCTAGACTTTGTCTTTACACACACTCGCAATTATTTTATTTAAACGCAATCTTCTAACTGGAGAAAACTCGCAATAACTTCTCTAACAACCTTACACACACACACAGTTTTTCGAAGAGAAAATGCCAATTGCTTTCAGTAGATTTATTACAACTCCTGCAGTGAAATAACGAACCATTGATGGCAATAAAGAGTTATTTCTAATTATATGATTTTATTAAAATTTAGTGTGTATTCCATTCAACCGGTTAATAAGCAAGCGATAAAACATTTGGAGCCAACTACTTTTAATTTAAAGCTAAATCACGCTTCTTTTTCTAAGGTATTTGCAAGTCTAAACTCAAAAGCTTCTAATCTGGCAAAGTTACGCGTGATACATCCAGTCATACGATATGCATATATACACTGCCTGGCAAAAAAGTGATGTACCCAGAAAGGAGGTTGGATGTGAATGAAACTACATATACTGAAAGACGTGTGACTTTACTGAACTGACTACAATAAGGGACGAAAGAGACATTGCCGTTGGCAGTTGCGGGTGGAAAGTTGGCGTCAGGACAGTAGTGTGTCGCACTTCCTCAGGCAACAATGTATGCGACTCGAAGTGGTGCCAAACAGTCTTTAGTTCCTCTCGTGAGGCAAGTTGGTCCACAGTTGTTGTGGTGGAGCTGTCCCTGCAGGTCCTCTAGGTTGGCGCTGCGATGAGTCCCATGCCAATGTCATCCCAAGCGTTCAACGATGGAGAGATCCGAGGATCTTACTGGCCACGGGAGGAACTCAACATGCTTTAGGGAGTTAATAGTGCATCATCTGGTAGGAACACTGACCCAGGGTGCTGTGCTATAAAAGGTCGGACGTGCGATCGCAGTATGTCTGTGACGTATCGCTGTGCCGTGAAAGTCTGCCGAAGCACTATTAAAGGCGATTTGAAGTAATATACTATGGATCCCCACAGCATCGCAAGTGTGTCTCTCCACAATACGGGCAGGATGTGCCCTCTGCCCTTCACGCCGCCACACTTGAAGACGATGGTCGTCAGAGGTTATGGCGAAGCGGGACTCACCACTGAAAAAAATGCGAGGCCATTCGTTCTCTGTCCATGCCTCCCGGGCGCGGCACCAATCGAAACGCCAACGTCGGTGTTCTGGTTCATTGGAAATGCGACGCATGGGGTGGTGGGACCCCGAACCACCATGCGGAAACGCACGGAATGTTTTAGAGTACAAGTTGGAGGATGGCGGGTGCCAACGCCATGAGATGCCGCACTGCTTGGCGCACCATTCGATGACTCGGGATGGCGTTTCCTGGTCTAGCCAAGACTGCACACGTGCAAAGGTGTCCTCATGTACCCACTGATTCCAACATCGGGCCACTGTGACATCTGATTTGCCTGCATGCCTGGCAATTGCACGATTCGACGAACCAGTCCCATGAAGTCCCACAATGTGGCCTTGTTAAATGCGGTCAGTTGGTGAATTGGGTGTCGATAGCGTCTGCGCGGCATGGCAGATGCTTCGTGCTGTAACTTAAACGTCGTTATGCACTGTTTGACTCACAGAAGTTGACCGATAACAACAGCGCAACAACGGAGCGGCTACACAAATGCACTCTGGCGAGCGTTAGATACAAGTGAATCGAATCATTTACTCACACATCAATGATATGCAAATATACCGAAATAGGATAATATTGGATCACAGCTTGTGAGCGCATCACTTTCTTGTCAGGCAGAGCACACAGCAATTTCCGGATACAAATTGTCCCTCCACCTGCACCGATCTTCGTCCTCTTTGGAGCGGCACTAAGAGACGTTTGTTCTGAAAGTGGAGCGTTACAGCTGGTACTATTCAGTTACAGCGCAAAAGAACGTTAATCACAGATTTTGCGACCGACAATCGAAATTAATTTGTTGATGTGATACCAATACTTTCCCTCCCTCTCCTATACAAGAGGAAAGATTTTTCACAAGTAATAGGTCACATTCAAATGAAATTAAAAAAGTCAGTATTCTCTGGAGGGTAATTCTAATATTTAACAGTGTAATCAGTAACAATTTTAGATTTGATGAAGGCAAAATTCCTTCTAATATTTAACAGTGTAATCAGTAACAATTTTAGATTTGGTGAAGGCAAAATTCCTTTCTCAGAAGCTGTATTGGTAGTTTTGGTCACATGTTTTGACGAATGATATTAAGATATTGTTTTATATTTGGAAGGACCATTAAAAAATCTTCTGACATTTCAAAATATTAGCGATCTAGAGTAAGTTTCAGGTATATGACTTTTTCAAATTATGACTGAGGGATTTGCACGATAGAAGGGGCAATGTTACCTCACATAACCGTTACAAATAATACGAGAGAGAATGTGATGGAGCATAGCAAGTTTTCTATAAAAATATACGTAATGAATCTCAGGAACCATCCGTAATCAGACTCTACCATTGAAAACCAAACATTTTAAATAATCAGAATTTTGATACACAAATTGTAATTTAAAAATTAAAAAAGAAATGCTTTGTCTAAAACTCAATTTAAGTAGAAAAAAATTGATATATATATATATATATATATATATATATATATATATATACACATATATATATATATATATGGGGAAAATAATATTATAGAATAAAATTCACAAATTGCAGGGAATAATATAGTTTTACATCAAAAAGTTCAGTAATGAAATAAATTGAATATTGTCAAATCGCTAGATTAAATAGCATGCGTCTCCCGGATATTACTTTAATCATAATCGTCAATTAGACAGGGCAAGGAATGTATTATATACATTGTGTATCCCTTTTCCTGCCATGCTTCCTCCCACCCTTTATCTCTTTACCCTTCGACATCCCGCTTCACCCTGTTCCTTCATTTCAAAACACTTTTTCTCTCAATGAAAACTGAAGCAAACTCGTTTCAGGCGTTTCAGAGATTGCTCCGAACAAAAACACAGACAAAAATAGAAAAAGCAATCGAATTGATTTGGTCATCACATGATATTATTAAAAAGGCAATTGTTTTAAATCACAGTTGCACTAAACTTCTACACGCATTGCAGATTATAGGGAATTATTCGTACATAATGTACTCCCCTCTAGTTCAGCAGACAACGCATGTAACAAAAGTTGTCGGTTATGACAGTAATTTGTGCATATATTAAATTGAAATTCAAATTTTGTTCCGTGAATGGCCGTGGTCTAATTACAATATAGTTTCAAGTCAGCGGCACGTGACACATTTCGTTTGTTTTTTTGGATAATTTTAATTGCTATCTCTGGGCTTAGAACAATAACAAATTAGATGAAGAATTATTTTTATATTTTATTTAAGCTAAGTATGCTTGATATTATAAAAATACAATATTTATATTATAGACAATATTATTGTTATTATGTTAACACATGCACGAGGCAATCAATATATTTGAAGATGTTTGATATTAAATTAATAATTATTTTTAACCCTCTTATTATTACCAAAATGACGAAAATTTTGTGAATATTATTTTTATTTTTAAATATTATCTTACTATGATACTTTTAAACTGAGTTGTCAAAACCACTTAATAGGCACAACTAAATTCACGGAAAATCACATAATAAGAAAAGTTTGTCATGTTAAGACTTGCGATCGCCGTATTCAACACTGCATTCTTCCTAACAGTGGCTGGATGTTTTGGACAAAGCAATAACTCAAGTTTTGTCATTAATAGTTATATAAATAAATAATCATAAAGAGATAATTTTATTGCAATTATTAGGAAATGAAGTTAGAAAGAATTTTATGTGCATTTTCCGCCCAGGGAGTGCGCAGGGTGTCAGAGGCCATGCGTAGCGCATGACCCTGAGCCACCGCACGCGAGGGTGGAAGGGCCTCGCTGCGGAGGAAGAGGGCGCTCACCTCTGCTCGAAGGAGTCGGCGCGGTTGGACTTGTAGCCGCTGTCGCCGAGGGAGCCCTCGTGCCGCAGCGACGGCAGCGAGTCCCAGGGCGAGCGCTTGTGGCCGCCGCCGCCGCCGCTGCCGCCGCCGCCGCCGCCCGGCAGCAGCGCCGCCCCCGACCCCGAGCCGAAGGTGGAGCTGCCTGAGCGCCACCCGTCCGAGTGGCGGAACCACTGCGCGCGCGCGCTCTCGCCCAGGCACGACGCGCACCTGCGGCACACGCGCACGCCACCGCTCGCTCCGCACGCCCACGCCCACACACGCACGCTCCACACCTGCTCACAACCATTTACACACACACACACTCTGCACCGGATCACGCCCACACACGGCGCTTACACACACTGAGCGCTTGCTGCACACCCACCTATACACACGGCGCGCACTTGTACCGTACCCACCTGCAACTCACTCAGCAGCCAGTAGTAAGCCTTGCACCTGTCGCATACACACATCCTCACACTCTGGCACACCCACCTACAGACACTCCGTACCTACCCGACACACACATTAGCAGTTACTGAAAGTATTTCTGATCAAAACTATATAATAATCACTTTCTGATCACAATTATAATAAAACGGGGTAAATACTCGTACATAATTATCAGAGAGAATAAAGCAAATTGTCTAGCGTATAATATATATCAAGATATAACAGACTTCCAAAGTTTGAAGAATGATTAGCACTCTCCTTTAGCAAATAAGAAAGTGATGAGAGAAAGGAAATGACAGTTATACAAAATCATCAGCGTTTTGAAATTGACACAACAGAAAACTTTTATTCCTTATTCATTAAAGCATTAACCAATAAAAGTTTTAAATTAATCGATGAATTCAAATCAGGAGCAAGGCAAGACACAATCCAAACTAGAACAATTCTTTGGAAGACAGAGAAACTAGCATCAATGAAAAATTTGGCAAATATTCTCTGAAGATACCACAGAACTTACAGAAAGTAAACCGACAACAGAAAGTTTTCAAAATACATTAATTCCTATGACGTGGTATTCAATAATTGTTGAAAAAGAACAACTGAAAATCATGGTATCACGGAACACCCTTCAAAACCGCATAAAGTGTAACATATAAAATAGACCTATGGAAAATAAGAAAAACGAATAGTTAAAAAAATAGTGGGATCAACTCCCTTGTCCTTACTGTTGAATGGCAAGAAAAAAGTAATAATATTTATAATAGAACCCATTAAAATAGTAAATGACCACTATTTTACACAATAATAAATAAGAAATTTATAGAAAAAGTAGACCCGAAGGTCCTGCAGGGTCGTAAGCCAATAACATTTTTTCTGGCTGGGAAAGATACCACAACAAGAAAAACTCTCCAACCAGTCTTTCTATAATTTCCTCAATTTCTCACAACCGTAATGGACACCTAAATTGTGAATGTTTCCCTAAATTATAGAAAAGAATCACGATTCTACCAATTGTAAAACCAGAAAAGGACAGTGCCATGGAGTACCAAAATTTATATTAATTAACGTGTTAAATGTAAAAGGAAAAGAGAAGAATGGTTACTAATTCTTAGAAGAATGCACTAGTATGCTTTGAAGATCTTACAAATTCTAATGAATTTGGTTTCACACAAGAAAAAATGCAATAGCGAACGCAATGGCTATTAAAAAAGAAATTCAGAAAGCATTCCACAAGCTACAAAAAATTCATTTAATTGTGGAAATAGACTAGACGTTAAAGAAGCATTTGATACATCATGATGGCTCTGTATTTTAAAATCATTGAGAGAATGCAATGCCTTAAAAATCTTTACTATCTAGGAAAACTTCTTAAGAGATAGAATTGCTTTACTATCAACCAATAACTTCACATTCCCCAAATACACAAATAGGGACTGCACCCAAGGATCATGTGGTCAGAAAAAATTATCTTCTCAATACAAGGACAGTAAATAGTCAAATGCATTCGCTCTTGCTTCATTCTGGTAATAGTAGAATGAAGGAGAATATAACAAATGAAGAAGGGGTTTCATTAACACAGAGATTGATAAATTGACAAATGAAAATAAGATAGGAATCAATCAGCACAAATTTAGAAGGGAGCTACAATCAAAAAGGAAAAAAATAAGAAAAGAACTGGTGACTGCTTTGATGACTGCCGCGGGGGAGGTGACGGAGACAACGCGTGTGACTGGAAGGGGAAGGAGACCGAATCAACGTGGGAGATGTCCGCGGCGGGGGAAGAAATGGCGGCACAGGAACCTAGGACGGACGCACAGGTCCTGAACACTGACTTTCAGGTGAGGAAAGGCATCGTTAGATTGTTGCATTGCTGTCGAAGTATCATGAATAAGGAAACCGAGTTTTGGGATTTAATTGAAGCATGTGACTCTAATGTCGTAATAGGAACAGCATTTTGGCGTTCGGATGCGGTAGCAAACCCAGAAATTTTCTTTCAGGCTACATTACGTTTAGGAGAGATCGCGAAACCAGAGGCGGTGGAGTCTTAATTGCGTAAAAAACACATTTAATATCCGATCAAATTGCGTTGATATAGAATATGAGATGACGGGTGTAGACATTTTCTGTTCAAGAAGTATTTTAGAAATAACTGTTTGCTATCGTCCACAGGGCAACAAATACTAAACTAAAAATAACTAAAAATATAAATATCCGTCATGTAGTTATTGCTGGAGAGTTAAACCTACCAGACGCAAATTGGAAAGAGATTGTACGCGAAGAAAAAGTACACCAACGAGTCAACCGACTTGTCTGGGACAACCGATTAGCGCAGGAGTAGACCGGGTTGACCCGACACGACGGGAATTTGGAAATTTGCCTACTTAGACCGAAAGACTTATTCTTGTCGTGCGACGTTATAGAAGGTATAAATGACCATAAAGCCGTTTTAGTCGATTTACAGTTAAGTATTTCAAGGAAACGTATTGTCTACGGTATTCTAGTGAGGGTATACAAGAAAGCGAATGTAAAAGGGTATCAAAATTACTGAAAAAAACGAAATAGCGAGTTTCTTAGAATAGGAGGAGAAATGAAAGAGAGATGGGGAGCGTTTATAAATATTCTGGTAAATGCTGAGTAGGCTTTTGTACCAAGTAAATTGTTAAAAACTAACTGCGATCCGGAATATTATAATGAAAAGTTTAGGCGATTAAAATGAAAAACAGATAAGCATTTAGCAACAGACGCCGTAGAGAAAATCATATTTCGAAATTATTCAAAAGAGTTAAGGAAGGAAACGAAAATGGCACAGGAAAGTCATTTGAAACATATTCTTGATGCGGAGGGCAGAAGGAAGGATAGAAGACGACATTCCAGTTGTTCGTGTAAATAATTCGCCAATAACGGACGACAGACAAAAAGCAAAAGCTTTTAACATGTATTTTAGCTTGGTTTTCAAGCATAAACCTAACAGTATTCAGATACCAACGCTGACAAATAGAAGTCTTTTTCGTATTGAAGTAAATACTTTGCGGAAAAGAATAAAATTAATGAAGAGAGGAAAATCACGAGACCAGTATTGTATTTCCATGGAAATCAATTAATAACTTTAGAAAATCAGTCGTATGCAAACTTATGGAACATTTAATTTCTATCTATATCAGGAAAGAATGGGAGGGCAAGGAGTGGGTCTATCAGGGTCAGCACAGTTTCAGGAATGGTTTCTTATGGGAAAGTCTCACTTCTCCAGGACCTAGCCGATGAAGTTGGTGAAGGGAAAGAAGTCGACGCGATAGTAATAGATTTTATCAAAGCTTTTGATGTTGTTTGACGCAATCGTCATATAAAAAAATAATAGATTCGGGTATAGACGCTAGAGTGGTAGCGTGGATAAACGAACTACTCCGGAACGGGAAACAAAGGGTCCAAATAGAAGATACTTATCAACCTCAGGAGCTCCACAAGGAAGTGTCATCGGACCACTCATGTTTCTCGCCTTTGTAAATAAATTGCCGACGATAAATTTAGCTTTATATGTACGACTCTTTGCAGATAACTGAGTAATTTATTGGATTATCAACTGGGATAAGGACGATGATATTTTGAAGCAACAAACGGCGTGGATATAAACAGTTCAAAGAGCAAGTCCATCACGTTGGGCAGGAGTCGAAGTCACAATGAATCTGGTACAAATTGAACAATAATGTTACACGTCAGTCATGCCTTGCAAATATTTAGGAATACAGCTAGGCAGTAAATTGAGCTGGGAAAATCAAGTGAATTTCTCTGCAGGGACTTTCTCTGGACATCTTTGCTATGCAGATTCTGAAAAGGAGTACAGTGAGAGCCACATAACTAGCATATAAGTCATTAGTGTGACCCATGTTAAAATATGGCGTGGTATGTTGGGACTCATACAGAATTTTGCAGTAAAGGAATCGAGAAAAGGTTCAACGTAGAACATCAACATTTGCTTTCAGGGGTATGGGGGTCATTCGAAAGGAGATGAAAGTCACGTCTCTATGCAATGTATAAAGTGTACACAGACCTTGGGAAAGTAAGTCAAGGGAAACCTATATATTTTGGAAGAGCAGATCACATACACAAAATTCAGACAAGAATTCAGAAAACGGATGTTGGGAAATATTCATGGGCGGATCTAACTATTACAGACTGGAACGGTTTGTGACAATCTTCAATCCCTGTCCTCAAAGGCTGGGCAAATTTAAAAATAAATTAGTTTCCTGAATGTTGATACGTGTATTACAAATATCTTTAATATTATTCACTGCGAGTAATTGTGTCTACTATGTAATTAGGCATTATTATTAATTTTGTGCAGTGCAGGGGCGTTGTGAAAACTAAGGGAAACGAGTGTGTAAGAAGGACATTATAGCTCAATGATCCGCAGTATGATGAAGTGAAGCGTGGTGAGGTGGAGTGAAAGATTGCACGTTAATTTGTAAAGTTTGTAAATATTGTAAAGTTGTTAAGTTATTGTATTCTGCCACCACGTTCTCAAACTTAATTGCAGAATTAGTAATAAATCTAATCTAATCTATAAGAAGGCAAATAGCATTAAATAGGTGAAAGCTTACCACCATAATGACTGTAACAAGAAAGCAGATCACCTATAAAACCGCAAGAACAAATACACTATTACAGACAGAAAGCTTAAGTGTAAATTAAAAAAGCAATCACAGAATCAACAACTAAAAGACTTTTTTCCCGACGGCCGATAACAGATTATCAAGATAAATTTAAATATGAAAAGGAATCACTATAATTTTTGTAGGATATGATCTATTAACATCTTACTTCCACAAAAAAAGTAATGTCAAGCCAGCACGCATATGTACGAGTAGAAACAAATTAGTAAAAATTATATATGCGACAGTTTTATCATAGGAAATGAAACACTAAAATAAAGCTGTAAAATAAATCCAACTCAAAAATTACACAGCCAAAGAAACAAATGGCAAATATTGAAAAATTGGTCAAACACATCCCAAAGAATTTGTCTAACATTCTATAAAAGCAGTAGATTATTAAACAGTCAGTAATAAAATATTTACTTGATATAAATAGTCAATTACAACAAATTTACAACAATCTGCATGGCACTCTTCGCTCAATTATAATAATTCTAATCGGACTATACTTCACATACACTTTCCTTCCTTTCAATACACTTTCACTCACTCCATCGTCATCCCAACGTACTCATCCTGACTGGATTCGCTGCTAACACACCACCTTCATCCAACCTTAGGCTTTCAGACCTATGGAATACACTCCATCTTCATTCCACCAGATTAAATCCAGACAACAAACCTGCTATCATACACATCCATACTATCACCTTTGGTATTCAAACAAAACTCTTAACATATTTCACCTTCATTCCACCTTAGGCATACAGACTACAACCCTGGTATCATTCTGTCTTCATCCCACTCTACTTATATCCAGCCAATCAACATGCTAACACACATCACCTGCATTCCAATTAATGAATCAATGAATTAATGAAAAAGTTATGCATTGAGAATACAACCTTACTAACATACTGCACCTTCGTACCACCTAAGGCATTCAGAACCTGCTAACACACTCTCATCTTAGGCATCCAGACAATAATCTACCTAACACACCCCGCCTGAAACTCTTCTCAATCATTTCGCCTACACTCATCGTCACACTATATTCTTACATCCCTTCTTACGTTCTTCACTTGCAGATATATATTCACAAACTGTCTGTATTTCTTCTCATACTTCCCGTCAAAATACCCAAAATACCCCAGTACACAATCTGCTTAGATCCTTTTCTCCCAATCCGCTTTCACTCCGTTTCACTCAATGTAACTCTACAACTCAGAACAGTTTCTGCGTATATGCCTACCTACACATCTTGCATACAAATCTCTCCAACCACTTCACCTACAAACCTTGTTACAACTTCGTTTTCAAAGATTTCTCACCCATCCACCAGATTCATTCCGTACACACCACTGTTACTTTCCTTCTCACTCTTAAAACTCATCACACCCTTCTCTCTCTCTACAATCACCACGTGCAATATCCCTTTAACACTGTATCCTCAATCTTCCTCACACACGAATTCTCGGCTATCCGGGAGACGCCGCGTCGTTGGCTGGGGTGCCAACGTTTCGCCTGACATTTCGCAGGCTTCCTCAAGGCAGTGACAGGATAGCCGAGAATTCATGGATTCGAGCCGCGGAAGCTTACGTATTCCTCACACACTTCGCCACATCCTTCCTTACAAACTCGTCTTTAATCCAACCGTCCATTCTTCCGTTCAATCCACCTACTTCCATTCTTTCCACTTCTTACACACCCAGCCTTCAATATTTCTCAATGTGTGAGTGTGTGTGGAAAGATCGGAATGGACTTTCCCGGAGTTGTGGTAGCTGACGTAGCCTCTCTCCCAAACTTCTCTTGAGGCTTGTGTGGGACCGTGAGTGACATGAAGTAGGGCGTGTGATCGAAAGTGCGTGAAATGGGGTGCGTATGGGAGAAGGGGAGTAGGCGTCCCTGGAAATGTGGTCACAGAGGTTGATTCTCCCCCTTTGGTTGAGAGTTGTTTGGGAATGTGCGTAGAAGGGAGTAGAGCTAGGTGTGAGTAGGTGGGAGTCATAGTAGCGAGGTGGGCGTATCTGGTGTGTGGCCTCTAAGGGAGCCTCTCTCCCTTGGGTTGAGGGTTGTGCGGGGATGTGGGGGATAGGGAGTGGGGCCGGTGGTATGTGCTGGCCGTACCTGGAGTTATGGTCGCTGAGGTAGCCTCTCTCGCGCTCGCGCTCTCGTTCGCGCTCGCGCAGGAGCTCGTTGCGGTCGCTGTAGTAGCCCTCGCGGTCGCGCGCCGCGCTGCTGGCGGGCCGGTCGGCCTGGCCCCGGTGCGGCAGCGGCAGCGTCGACGACTTGTTCATGCTGGCGCTGGAACCCGGCCCTGCGCATGCGCGGGCGCGCGGCGCCGCACACGTAAAGGCTTGGGACCCACGAGCGTCGCAAAACGGACGTCGTTGACGTCCGTCAATTTGACGACTTCGTTGGTTAGCAAGCCAAACGAGCACGATCGTCGCTGCTCAATGGACGCAAATGCAATTCATGGACGCCCTGGGGCCTCGTGCTAGCAAACAGAGAGGCCGCTGAGTTAGTAATTGTGTGTTATAATGAAACCTACAAATAAAGAGAGGAAGAAATGCTGGTTCATATCTAGCGCCTTTTTACGGGAACGTTGTACACTATATATCAGATTTTATGAAACGATGGTGAGAATTTTTTCATAATTTCTGAATGTCCGAGCCTTCTTTCACCGATGTGCGGTCGCAATTACATTAGTCTATTAACCGGCAAGATACCAACGTGAAGTGTGCAAATTACCATGAGACACGGTCGCAATGCACTTCATTAATTAATTTTCTAATAAATCTTTTTTTTTTAAATCTATTCATTTTATGAATGGAAATACGCGTGCCTTCTGACGGGTGCTTCGCGACGGACGAGGAGGTGACGGACGTAACTACAGCGCACTAGTGTGTCAGTATCCATGTGTTGCTGCTCCGCTCGACGGACGCACTACACGTCCGATCTTTGACGTGTCGGTGACGCTAGACTAAGCATGTCTGGGGCGGGAATGGAGTATTTAAGTTGAGAAAATGTGTAATAGATCCTCGTGGAGTGTAACATACAAATGGGGGTTTGATGTCGAACTCTACGATATATTTGTTCTCAATTTTGTTGTAGGAAATGCCTTGGTGTATTTATCCTTTTTATTATTAGTAATCCACATCACTAAGTGGTGTTTTGTCTTTAATACTTTTCGGTTGTTTAAAACTTATTCAAAACTTTTGTCGTGTGTAAATGCTTCGACATAATTTCGGCAGTTCTGGATAATTTGTAATCTTATACTAGTATCTGGCAATGTAGAAAATTGTTGTGCAATCGATCCAACAGAGTGAATGTTAAACTCATTCTTAAATACATAATGCCCCTGCGTAAAGGAGCGCTAATGCAGAAACTGATTCAAATATTTATACTTCAAAAATCTAAAATGTTTCAAGAAGAAACTTGCACAAAATATTACCTATTGCTAATTATACGTATAAACAATTTTTAAAATATACCATTTCCTTTGCTCGAAACGTCTGTTCGTCTGATATTCTGCCAAACCCCTGCTTCGTCGCCTCTATTTCGAATAGGAAATGAATCATTTGATTATACGGACGTCTTATTCCGTCCCTCAACTCCTGATAAAATATTATTTTTCCTTCAAATTACAATTTTGGTGATTTGTTTGGTAAAATGATTTCTTACGAGGATTAATGAAACGGGAGAAAATGACTGCCAAAGAACAAAATAAGTTATTTCTTCTTCCAGCTAAAATATCAGCTTTCCCCCCCAACCCGAAACAGACTCACGGCTGCCGGAGGGTCCTTAAAAGTGCAAAGGCTGCCGAAGGTATTTCACGTGATTGCCAAATAGCAGGAGGTTGCAAAGGGCAGGAGCTCCCAAACATGGTTTTCGAGAAAAAATAAGGACTTATATATAAGTATTTGTTTATAATATTTTCTCTAAAAGCAAATAAAAAACATATGGTGAATTACCAATATCATATAATTTTTGTTAGTTTCTTTTGAAATTACACTATTTGGTCTTCTTACAGAAAAATAAAGTTCATTTGTAAATTCCTATTAGATGTTACCTCCACACTGGGATGACGAATCGACACGATTGGATGTCGAAATAGTATTGTCTAGATGACGTCGGTTCAAACTTCATGGTAATTAAAAACCAGTAACACATTTGTTTTACATGGATAATCTTAGATTTTATAATATGACTCAATTGATTCTTTTCAAATGAAGACATAATGAATTCAGTCATGATATATACGTAGAATTTGGCCTCATAAATGTGCAAAAGTAGACTGAGAAGAGGCAAACGTGACGACAGAGAGTATTCAGATTGCACACTGTGATTTAAGACATTGGCAAAACGTACAAAAACTAGGCATTTTATAATGTGGGGACATCATGAACGACACAATACAGATATTTCTGGAGTATTGCAGATGTGTAAGATTCGCCCTGCAGTCTGCTCTGAACGCAAGGAACAACATTTCCGCGAGTGGTAGTTTCGCTAGCCTGTAGCTTCGTGCTGTTTTGGACTGGTCGACAAAAGTGAGCAAGATATTCAAACCATGGAACGAAAAATTCGAAAATTCATTAAAATGATTCATTTTCCTCACCCTGGAAACTTGACTGACTTTCTGTATTACGCAAAGAAAAAGGGAGATGACTCAGTCAAAACGAAGCCTCCTGCCACAACGCAATAGTCGGAATGGGTAAGTAAGTGGTCAGTCATCAAGATCACCCGCTTTTGAGGCTGGACATTGAATATGACCAAAATTATAGGAAGAGGTGCATGGTAATTACAACTAGAGTTCAGCAAATTGCAAAAGTTCATAGTTTTATTGATATCTGTCATTTAATTGTTAGTGCTATCGGATTTTTGATTCTAGGACTTAACATTTTTGACCTGAACACAGTTTATTAAAACTATTTTAGTGATTTTCGAGTAATTATAAATAAAATTGGTTTCCTAAAATATATTTTCCAATAAGATTTTGTTATAAACATACATTTTTCTCCACTCTTTTTTTTCAGAGCATAACGTGCAGAATTTTAATGAAATCAGCATCATTTTGTTTATAACTTTAAAGTTAAAAAATTCATATGTGTACTCGTTTAACCTACTGTGCATTGAGGATATTTACACAAGACATATTTTATGTTTTGGTAGCACAGTAAACAGAAAGTTTTGCAATGAAGTCTTATAAACTTCTCATTGAATAATTTTTGTCTTAGACGCAGCTTGTTGTATAATGTTAGTTATTAGATAGCTCTATTCTACTACAGGTATTTGACTAATCACACAGATGTTTACAATTGCGAAATAATCAATCATTGGTCGTCATCCTATTAAATGTTTGCTGGATTGTGTATATTTCTCGAATGTGCCAGTAAACTACACGTGCCCTTCCCTTTTCCAAAACTCAGAAGAAAATGAGAAGGTTGAACCTTCCTATGAGAACTGTATCATTATTTAGCCGATAAGAAATAAGAACTGAAATTCAACTGAAATTCATTGAAGACATTTATTTAATATTTTCAATACTAAACGGACACATGTACCGCTCGTTTGAATGCGGCCAGTCTTTATGCCTAACAATGCCACATGGGAGTCGCCGGAGTCTGTCCACTAGGTGGCGTTAGTTGAAAACGCACGCCAGCTGCCACGTAGCCGTTCAATGCAAAAGTTTAACTGATAACAGATATTATTAGTTATAAAAAAGTTCTGCATGATACTTGATATATTGGATATTAATATATTTGTATGACTTTTGCAATTCTTGCTCGTTCCTCGCCTATATCGTGTAATATTGCCTGTATACTAATACTCATTATTTCGTGATACACTATTTTTAAACTGGCATTTCGAAGCACAGGACATTATATCATAGCATTTTCTGCTCGAAAAATGTAGTCATGCCCGACGTCTATGTCATGGACGTGTTGGCACTGAGTGATAATACCATGTAAATAATAACTCCCATCACTCATATTAACAACGGAAAAGGAGTGGTAATGTTAAGGTCAACAAGCGATTGCGATCAATGTCACATTTCTCATAACATAACACTCTCCAGCACACTTCAGTAGCCTCACGCTAGATTAATCAACCTCACTGTGATATGTCGTTGACATCTTATCCTGACCCCTTCGCGGCGGGTACTTTCATGTTGAAAATTTGTATGTGCTAAGCAAGTTCACAAAAGAAAGTTAAAAAATAAAGTTTTCTGGCTCGTGTATCTTCGGAAATAGATAGTTACATGAAAAAGTATACATATAGGTAGTTTTTAACATTCGTGTTTCATTCCAATAATAGGTTTAACTATTGTCAATTTAACAAAAAACTATCAATACAAAATAATAACTTTATAAGGATTTACATTGAACCGGAAATGCAGAATAGTAATTCAGGACTTTAGGGATCATCAAAACCCCGAAACATGTTGTTTGTTGGTAAAATTCAACAAGAATATTTTAGAAAAACTCTGCCAAAAAGAAAGCAACGGATTCGACTTCCCGAGAGCAATCGTCGTTGGCGGCTTTAAAACTTCGCGAAATGCGATTCAGGTGCTTTTCTCGCCTCCAACAAGTCAAAGAATATTTTGTTACAAAACTAGGTTTAATTTGCGTTAAATTAATGAGAAAAGCCATTAAATCTCAGTAAATGGCAGAGAGAGAGCTTATAGTAATTCACAGTGTTTCACCAAAGATCTTGAAGGCGTATTAAAACCAACAAAAATGCGTATTTTTTTAGAGGTTTTCAAGAACGTTCCATAGAGAATGAGTTAATAATAAAGCCAATCGGTTTGTCTTTGCGAGAGGAATCAAATAAGAAATTGATCTCCTCTGCATCCGTATAGTATCTAAAACACGCTTGTTGCTTACGAACAACAAACAGGACGTTTTTTGGAGCAACTTCTTAGAATATTCCGGAGGGATTCGCAAAATATGATCAGTTCCTTCCAAAGAATCGTGAGCGTTGAATGTGACCTCATTTGCTTCGATTGGTGGAGCGGAAGGCCGTGAGGTGTGGAGGTTATTCCATTACTTTACCAGGATTAATGAAGTCTTTATTTTTAGATTTTCTTATTCCAGAGCGCAGTCCATCTAGCATAGAGTGTTTGGTTTGCATATAATTTGATAAGTCCTATTTTTAGTTCATAGTACAATAAATTAACATTATCCCGTGTAGAAAATAACATGCAGTTGTGAATATTTTCTTAATCCTCGATGAAGGTATATTTTTTTTTTATTTTCTATATGCTGGATCAAGGAAAATAAAGCAATTTATTTCTTCAAAGTGATCTTTCATTTTCCTTTTTACAAGCTGATCGGGGAATCATTTCCTATTACAAATATTCCTCCGACATCATTACATCTATCTATAAATCGAGAGAAGTATCTCCCTTCTATTTGCAGATTCGAGATTCAGATAAGTTTATCTACAGGTAAGAGCTAATTTTTACTCGTTTACTCAGTTTTTCATCACATGAGAATCTAATGTGTGTTTAAATATTTGCTTCAGAAAAATCATGTGCTGAAGAGTAGAATTTTGCAAATGGAGGTGAAGATGAAGATGGTTCTGTGTTCGAATTCAGGAAGAGACATGAGACTCTCATGCATTTTAGAGTGGAAAATATTAGCAAAACGCCGATCACGCATCTCATAACATCAATTTATAATCGACCATAGACACGCAACTATTTGGGGGCGCAAAGGCATTCAATGCTAAAACGGTGAGTGCACGGACGGTTATATTAAAATTTATGAGTATCATTGAACAATCCTGAATCATTCCCAAAATTTTTACATTTCTGAAAATATTACTGAAAGTGTGTTGTAAAGAAATAAATGGAATTCTTAACGTACAAGAAATATCATCTTGTTTAAACAAACCCATGTATAATGTTGAATAAATACGTTTGAAAAAAACTAAATTGAAAATTACGAAATATAATATTGATGAATTCCAAATATAGCCGTACATAAATCCACAAATTAACATTAAATATATTTTTGAATATTATTGTTTTCCTTTTTGTCGTTAAACTCTGTTATATTACTCGTGCAATACCGAATCTATCATAATATATATTACACACGTCTATGACAAGAAGCAGAGTCAAAGACAATCTCTTTTCCTAATGAACTTGTGCTTTGAAATTTCACCTAACGAAGTTACAAATGGAGAATGTGCCCCTAATTGTTAGGCAATGCTCTACGTACTGGAGTTCGACAGATCGCTTCAAAGTGAATTCATATCCCTAGGGACCACCAGCAAATGTGCGGTGACCAAACAATTATGGGCAAAGCAACACTTCGTTATATGAATTTTCCGCACAAAAAGTGATATATATTCTGGCCTTCTACAAGTTCCGTGTGTAATACAGGAGGTTGCAGTGATGCACTGAGAAGGGTTAGTAGTGAACGGAGAGTAGCTCACGTCTGCGCGTGGGGTAGGGGCTGCGCTGCGTGGAGCCTGGGAGGCTCTCGGCGAACTCTGCAACAGAGGACGGACGCTGCGCTCAGAGCCAGAGTAGGTGGCTGAGGCGCCTGGGCAGCGCGGACTAGCACGGAGGCGGGAGCAAGGGCAGGAGGGGCGGCGGAGGCGAGGGCGAGGGAAAGGGTGATCGCGGGGACGAGGGGAAGGCGAGGGGAGGGTGATGGAGAGAGTGAAGGCGAGGGTGACAGGGAGGACGAGGAGGAGGGCTGGGGGAGACGGAGGGCGAGAGGAAGGGTGAAGAGGAGGGGGAGGATGATGGCGAGAGGTTGGACGAGAGCAAGCTTGGGGCTGAGGCGAGGACGGAGACAGTGGCGAGAGCGAAGGTGGGGCGCAGTGCGATAGCGAGAAAGAGGGCGAGAGCAAGGAGAGGGTGAGGGCGAGGGGTGGGCGAGGGGGTGGGGGGAGGCGGAGGGCGGGGCAACGGTGAGGGCGGAAGGGGCGGGCGAGCGCGAGGCGATGACTAACCCAGGTTCTCCATGGCTCTGCGTGAGCAGGGCCTCGAAGGTGTGATAGGCTGTAGCTCTCGGCGTCATGCCCTTGGCCCAGCGTGTTGCGCAGGTTGCATCTCGTACTCGAGCAGCAGGCGGAGAGGTGGGGGAGCCGGGGCGGGCGAGCCGGCGCCGCGCGCCCCCGGGCCAGGGAGTGCGGGTGCGGGTGCGGGGGGCGTGCGTAGTGCGCGTAAGGGCGCCGCGGCTGGTCCCGGTCCGAGTTGCCGTTGCTGCTGGAGCGGCGTGGTGGCGTAGCACTGGGTTGGTCGAAGAGCAACGTTGCGGAGGGCGGCGAGAGGTCCCCGCCGCCCCCGCCGCCGCCCTCGCGCTCCAGCTCCAGGTAGAGGCCACGCGGGCCGAAGCCGCCCCCGCCGCGCCCGATCTCGTGCGACGACCGCGACCCCGAGAACCTGCACACACACACACACACACAGGCGCTTCAGTTGATTGACAGGTTGATTAATACGGGCTAAGAACATACGCCCGGAAGTGCATTTCGCCCTGAGGAGGGTCGCATAATGCTGGCCGAAACTGTGGCATATGTATTACTGGAGCTTGATGCTCGAGCGCTCTAGTCCTCTTCAGCGCTGCCCCTTCAAAAAGTTAGGTTCGGTTCGGATCGGCACGTACCAATTTACAATGCTGCCAACAGCCACCTCGTACATTCAAAACAATCGCAGCATTTATTGTAGCACGCTTTAAGTTGATGCCCACAGTTGGTGCCCTTTCAAGCCGCCCCGTAGCCAGAGCCTTCCTCTCCCCGCATTCCCGCTGCGGAAAAATAGCTGTGTAGTACCCAGAACGCGGTTTCTCCCTGACAGCCAAGCAATTCATCCACAAAGGAAGTTTCCCCGGCATGTGAAACACCTCCCAGTGGAACTGCTGAACATCGTTTTTGAGAAAAGTTATGGGTAGCCGACCGTTAGAAAAATCTTTATCTTCAATATTATCGTCGTAGAAAAAACACTGAACGTGTGCAGTTGTCGAACATTCAGGAAGGCCAATGAAAATACGACCAGTGCCAGTTTCTTAGCGTTTTCTCAGCTATCTGGGGCATAGTTTAATTTTAAATTTGAAGCAATTTATGAAAAAATTGAAAATGTTCTTGAGGATATCGCGTTCCTCCAAATCAATAAGGAAATATCGATTTTGAACAAATTCTTCTCAACGTTTAGGTTCTAGCGTGTACTACAGAAAGTCATGTTTTGTTGCAAATTAGTTTTTCGCTAACAATTACTAACAAAACGTGGATTCTGACTACAAAACATGTTAGAGGAAGTAATTAGAAATGTAGAAACAAGATTCATCCAATTTTGTGATACCGGGCTCTCACAATAAGAGTTTTACCGCATCATTCGAAGAATTTGTTTTTGACTTACCTTCCGCCCCCGAGAGCGCTCTTGTGGTGGTGGTTGGACTCGGGCTCGCTGAGCACGTGGCGGCCGTTGTTGTTGGCTCCGTGGTGGTGGTGATGGTGGTGGTGGTGGTGGTTGTTGTAGTAGTTGTAGCGCCGCCGCGTCATCTCGGGCGAGGTGACGGGGCTCTCGGCCGAGGGCATGGGCTTGAGCATGCGCTTCAGCACGTTGGCGTCCAGGCTCAGGCCGCCCCCGCCCCCGCCCCCGCCCGTCATGTCGTCCGTGCTCTTGCTCTTGGACCTGCAACCACAAGCCCCTAGCGCTTCAGTTACTTTAACAGGGACCGTTAATGTGCTGTGTATGTAATGTATCAGGGCAATAATGTCGGTTATCTTTATTATTCATGATGCTGTGGCCGCTCGACTTCACAGTTAAGTTCTGTATAAGCTAAAAAATCTATGAAACAAAATTCAAAACATTAGAACTCGGGAGGTGGCAAACAAGAATTTGCCCAAGAGCGCAAATTTCCTTGGCGCGACTCTGTATAATACCCGTAAAAAGGCTAAATACGTCTCTAATAAGTAATGCACTTTAACTTCTGGGTCAACTGCCCTTATGCCGATCGGATTGTTGTTCAGATACCCTAAATCCATTGTGCAAGTGCTGCGATTGCTCCTTATTCGGCTCCTTATTGGACGCAGCTTCACTACGCGCACTTTCTGTTGAGCTCCCCGCTTTCGCTAACTTGGGTAATAATAGAGCAGGGGTTGGAGTTACTATTTTGTTAGCAACAACAATTAGTCGTCCTACAGAATCACATAGAATTTCTCGTTCTAATATCTTTTCTATTCTCTCTAGTCTTTTCGCTTTTGCCGCACCCTTTTCTGAGCTGCCATCTATTGACGACCACACATTTTACGTTTTCATTAATCGAATCCATAATGGAATTAAAATATGACTTACAATAATATGACTTATAAGAATACTATACAAGGTTAAAATCTGATTCTAAAAGAAAATTTTATTTAAAATTATGCAGCGGTTGTAAGAAATATTCCGAAAATTTGCATTTTAAATATAATTTTTATTCAAAATTTTCAATTTTTCAAGAAAATGCTTAAAATTAATTAAATTAATTGTTCTCACAAACGCAATAAGTTCGTAAAAAATTAAGTACATGAAAGAAATAAAAAAATTACATTTATGTGATTTGAGCAGAAACTAAAGAATGCAGAAAATAGCGTTATGCAACGCGTAACGTATATCATAGTATGTCATGATATACAATGCATTTTACACTATTCCTACAAAAAAATTTTAAAAAAAAGTTGACACAGTTTTGGAGAATTAAAAAATATTTATTTAATTATCTATCTATTTAGTTAGTTAGTTATGGACGTTTTAAAACGACTCTTCATCACCTCATTATGTTTACATCAGTACATTAATATTAAACAAATGTAACTGATGTATCATTATATATTATATTCATCAAATTACGTATTTCTAGTAGTTTCAAAACGTTAATACAACTTTCTGCTGATATGAACATTGTATGTTGACTGCCTTCTTATTTCAGTAATTTCCTAGCATTATCAAGTTATGGGCATTCATGAATAATAAAAGCGTGTAGACACTGTAGCCCCATAAATAGGACAGAGTCCAAGGTTGGATTATTTGAACAAGTGACAGTAATTACTTGATGTAGTTTTGATGACTGATCTACCATTGTGAGCTCCAATACTTTAAACAAGAATATTTTTTTTTTTTTGTCTTTTTGGGTGCCATGTACTTGAGCTTCAACATTTGATAAAGACTTTGCCATTTTTGCAGCTTGTCTGCCTTGATAAAATCGTGTTTTTAATAATACCCATACCTCATTCACAATTATAAGAAAAATATTCATATTTTAAGAAAAACGTGCCCAATATGAATTAAAGAACTAATTGTAACGAACTAATTTATACACGCACTGTGCCACCTAAGCCGGAAAGGAATCCCCACAGGGTGAGTGCACTTACCGTCGGTTGTTATTGTTGTTATTATTGTTGTTGTTATTGTTGTTGTTGTTATTGTTGTTGTTGTTGAGGTGGTGGTGCGCGGCGCGCAGCTCGGCCTCGCGCACCATGTCCATGTCCGGGTAGTCGACCGACTTGGAGGCGGCGAGCGCGTGGTGGTGGTGGTCCTTGCGCCCCGCGGCTGCCTGCGCCTGCCACGCCCGCGCCCGCGCCCGCGCGCGTCAGCCGCGCTGGCCAGGGAGTGCAGGGAGGGGGACGAAGGGGCAGGGGGTGAGCAGAAGCTTTTTTTCTTACACAATAAATAAGTTTGTTATTATATTTTATATTTTTTGTGCTGTGATACTAAACAATATTATTTTTTAAATACTTACATAATTCTAACATAAATAAATATTTAAATTGATTTTGCGAAATAAAGGAGGGCAACAAACGAAAACTCTAAGCCTCGGGGGGGGGGGAGAGCACGGCCATCATGCCCCCTCCCCACGGCCCTCATGATCCGTCCAGATAGCGATGAAACCCATTTACGCAGTGATGAATTGAGTACACGGACATAACCCATAGATATGTTGTCAGCAGTAGAAGTCAAAGCTGTCCCTTCTTATTAAACTCTCTTCCTATATAGAACTAGATTGGCAGTGCTGCCCTACCAGTGAAGCCAGGCGACAGATGGAAAGATGGAGGGGCTTATACTTACTTTGTTACTTATACTTAATATTTATTTTGGACAAATGAAATGATCATTGAATTATCATTTAATACTGTAAATCGTACAGTAAATAACGTGTTATCAGCTATGGAATTACGAACTAGTGTAGTCATGTGATAAGTATTCAAGAGTACTACATTTTTCATTCGTTGTAATAAAATGAGAAAGAAATTTGCAGAGAGGAAATGTGAAATTTTTCATTCCACACATTTGTTAAATTTGCTTCTAAGAAATTGATCTTCCTGGTGTTGTTTAGTACAATAAACTTTTAGAGTAGCTAGTACATTTAATTTGGATCATTCAACTATTTAATGATTGAACTAATAATGTTAGCTCCAGTAAAATAAAAATTTATTTAATTAATACTAACAAATGTGTGATATATCAGGTGTTACATATAATCTTATTAATATTACGTAAAAGCAATGCCGAGAAATATTTCGAGTGTTATCCGCTAAAGAACGATTAAAATGTTCAAAATTACACTAGTATTTCAGAAAGTGGTTCACCTTATTCCGATTATTATTCATACTAAAAGAAGTATGAGAAAACTACTCAACTGCCTTCCATTTATTTAAAGCCCGTCAGAATGAGAGGATAGTAAAATGGCGACAGCCGTGATTTCTAGGCTACACTATTCGCTCCAGCATAGGCATTGCCAATGTATGTGCTATGTATCTGAATCTCCAACATTAAATTCGTGCGCAATAATGTTTAATTTTATTGTATATTAAATTATAATTAAAATTAACTTCAAAATAAAGTTATAAAAGGTCGCTCCTTGTAAAAAATACGATGAAGGACAAAGGAAATACTAAGGCCTCAGGATCATCTCGGGCGAGAAGTAGTGTGCTGGATGAAAGTAGTAATAGTTAGGATTATTTGATATTTTATAGTTTACAAAATTGTGATTATGAACATTTTTCATCCAGGAACAAACATCGAAAACGTAAAAACATCGAGTACAAAATACCGATGTTCCAAATTGGATTCAATATTTCGATGTTTAAAAAATTTACAAAAACGTAAAAATATTGAGTAGAAAATATCGACATTCCAAAAAATTCGGAATTAATATTTCGATGTTCGTTAAACATTTGTTTACAAAAGAATTTGGAAAAAGGTAAAAACATGAAACATCGATATTCCAGAAGCATCGGGTTCAATACAACGATGTTTGACGCATCGCGTTGAAAGGGGCCGCCGCCGCGCGGAGCATGCGTACCTGCGCCTGCGCCTGCGCCTGCGCCTGCGCACTCGTCTGCGCCGCCTGCGCCGCCTTGCAGCTCTGCAGCGCGCCGCCCGCCTGCGTGCCCTCGCTCTTGCTCTGCTCCGGCAGCGGCGCGTCCTGCGCACACGCCCGCTCAGCCCCTGCCCCAGCCACAGCCCGGCGACACCCACACACCCATTTCACCCCCTCCGTTGAGGGAAACAGCTCTCCCAGCGCAGTTATTAGAAAGGGTGTGTTCCACCCCCTGGCCGGCAATTACATTTTGAAGGTGTTCAATGTTGAGCAAGAGATTTAATAGATGGTCTGTGGTCGAATATGATCCGGAGATTGATAGCCATAATCACGATCCCATTGATTACAAAAACACTTAATGGGCTTGAGAATTTATTTTCTGTCTTAGAGATACTAATATAAAATAATAAATTACAATTTTGCTCGTCTTCTTTCGTATTCATCGTACCCCCTTAGCGACAGAGATGTAACTAATCTCGTGCAACTTCCGTCCTCGGAAGCCAGGAATCTTAAAAAGAACTCCCGCGGTTGGATATCGGCGGAGAGTAAAATAAAAAACTCTCCATCTATTTTTGTCCACTCTCTCATTACACTTATGCCAATTAGATTTAAAACTAAATTTCACGCTTATTACAGATAAGGATTTAATTTCAGCTTTTTACCCCGGAGCATCCGAGAAACTGGCTACGCAACTGGTTACGATGTTTAGAAAACGAATCAAATCATATCGGTGAACGTAACAGATGACATTCTACTGCTGCAGAAAATACTACTAGTGCTATGCGCACTGGCAAATGTTATGAATAGGGAGCGGGGGGGAAAGCGCAACATTTTGAAACCATTGTTCAATGAAGAAGATTAAAATTTCAGTTATTTAGAAGTGGAAGAGCTGCCGCTGATTATCAACCCAGGTTTTTACCATAACATTGCTCTTCAAAATGTTTGTCTTTAAGACATTTATGACTAATTATTTGTGTTACGACTATGAACGATACGCTACAGAGGATTTCGTGCCGTAGTGTTCAGCACAATTCTTTTAAAAGGAGTCGCTGGTCGACGAAGGTTGGGAATCCCCATTTGATTGCTGCAGCGCTCGTCAGCCGCGCGCCCCTAGGTGCGACGCGAGGGCGGGGCGCCTGGCCGCGTTGCAGGGCTAAGGCCGCGTCTACACGACGTGTCTGACCCACCCGTGCCTGGCAGCGCACGGAGCACGCAATGGCGCTCTGCCTCCCGCAGCAGACGGGAATCTGTGGATCTTGCCCTTCCGTTTCCTCCAAAGAGCAAATAGTGCGAACCATTCAAAAC